AAGTAACAATCTTAGGTCTATAGAGAATTCGTCACGCACCGATTTTCTATTTCCTTTTTCCTGACTGTATCGTCTAAGTGACTTAACTCCCCCACGTCTAATAATAATCATGTATAACCCGAGTGTGTTTTTATTTACCACAGCATACATCTTTAACAAAACGCCTATGTCTCTACACTACCCTAAGATAATTGCTTTTGTTTTCATAAAAGTGCAAGTAAAACAACCCACAATTTCGTATTTAGAAAAAAGCGGTTATGGTACCTAAATTGCGAAATCAAAAATGAAAATCATGAATATTATGACGTTTGCAATGGTTGAACGAGCACAGTAATAGAATTACAATTCGACGAACAAACCCATAGTTAATAATCATTAACAAAAACGAAATGGTCTTTGACAGTAAAAAAAAATTAGAATAAAATATAATGATTACTTAAAATGATATTTTCAAGGGAAAGTTTACATATTATAAATGTATTTATTATTTTTATACAACTGAATAACATAATGTTAACGCGAGATTATTTATTAGGAGACGTAAATCACATAGGTACAAGGTAATGATGGAGTTATTATGCAAAGCATTATGCTTTTAACATACTGAACAATTCAGTTTTACTACACAAATTCTATTGAAACACATTATATATAAAGACATTGAATATCAAACGTATAACGTTTGATCTTTTTAAATAAACCAGCGCCGTGGCAATTGAATAAAATAGTAAAGACCCCAAAAAATCAAGTTAATTTTTATTAATAAGTAAAACGTTAATTTATTTTAAATTCTGAACAAGAAACTTTTTTCGAAATGCTTTAAGAAAACATCTTTTTAAGTAGTGAAGTCCTTCTTGACTTCTTATGTTACAGTTTACAGCATGTTTAATGCATAACCTGTATTTAAAAATTGAAAATTTATAGTAAACTGTTATTAGTGTTTTATACTTTGTGGTGAATTACTTAAATGTTAAAAACAAACGATCAGATATTTACAATTGAGTATACAGTCTTCCATTCAGTAGTTAGTAAACTAATTGTCGTTAACTATAACTTAAACCAGAGTGTTGCAATTATTTAGAATGGTTTATACTATGAGATATATCTTCACTTTGAATTAGCTTAAATAAAAAAAATACGTATGGTCATCTAAATAATATTTTAATTATATCCAAATAATTAATGTCTACAATAGTTTCAAGTATAAAATGTATTATTCATTTTTAATTTTGTTGGGCTATATAGAGACTTTCATATAAAAAAAAAAAACAATGAAACCAAAGACTTAGTAATGATACGAATTTTTTTAACAATAAGTAATGACATATTTAAGCTAAGCCTTATTCTATTTTCTTCAAAAACAAAAATAGATGGGGAGCATTGACGACAGCATTACCGCCGCTAAAGAGTACACATACGAACGCGCTACATAGTAATGTAATAGTTCAAAGAATTCACATTTCACCCTAGTAAACGCATTCGGCAGAACGTGTTCTTTCTCCCCTTCCTAATAAAATGAACGCCCGTATATTGCTAAAGGGGCACGGGTGGTTTTTGGCTCTGAAAAGCATTCAAAACAAGAGAGAAGCGATGTATAGACATACAATGTGTTCTATATACATATATTTTTTGTTCATGTATACCGCAGGACAAGCAGCTGTCGCTAAATAAACATATTCCGCTGGTGACACGTCCTGCATTGCGCTTTAAGCATATCAAGAAATGAGATATAAAAAATAAAAACATTGATTATATTTTGTTTTTTTTTTTCATGATTGATAAAAAAGGCTATACACATAATTTACAAACTCTAAGCGTAAAACAAATGTTAGAATAAACATATGATTTTATTCAAATAACAAAAAAATATATAGTAGTTACATTACTTTTATTTCAATAATACTATTTTAAAGACTGCAAAATTATTTTGAGTAAAATTGTGAAATGTTGAAAAAACTTTTATGCAAATCCTTTAATAAATTATAAATCTATGTGTTTAACAACAAGTAACTATAAACACAAAAAGTAAAAATCTTAAGAATATACATAACATAATATCATTAAAAAATTAATAATACAAAGAAAAATTGACTATTAAAAAATGTTGAGTGCCATAATTACAATACGAATTTCTTTAAACATCCTGTAAAATTTGAGAACCATAAGACGTTTTAATGATGAAATATGATTATGAAAGCATTATTTAATGAGAATGAATGAAACGTGGATAACTTGATATGCTTGTTCGATTATATACTTATAGAATATCATAAAATTTTGAATTCATGTTAAAGCAACATTAAGATTTCAAACAAACAAGTAACTGTTTATTCACCATTATTTTTATTTCTATTGCTGGTACCAACTTTTGACAGAACGTAGTTCAAGAAATTTATAAAACTTAAATTGGCAAACTCCACTGTCGGGAAATCAAATAATTCAGGTATATACTTTGTTTACTTTATTATGTGCTGTTTAAATGGAAATATTATGTTATTCCGGTAGCGAAGTCGCTTCAATAAAACGAAAAATAAATTGAAATTCTAAACGTCTTTGTAAAAAAAACTTTAAATAGTTACACGAGAAAATTCGTATGTGGTATATATATATATATACTGAATTGCATATATTTATTAAATTCTCATGTTTTAATTTTATTTTTTAAATAGTTTAAATTATGTTACACTTTTTGTACATAGTTAATACATGATAAATGTTTCAATTGAAACATTATTAAGTGTTGAGATATATTTGACTAAAGCTTGATTTAAGCTCTTATATTATTAGGCTAACTGTTAATATTATTTTAATGAAGAATTAAAATTTTAATAATCTTAAAATTAAATTAAGACAAAATTATTTCAATTATAATATTTTATTCATTGTAAAACCAAAATTAACAAATGGCATGGATAAAAAATAACTCGTGAATTTTTTTCAAGTTTAAGTGTTGATTTTTAATTTTAGACTAAAATATAAATAAAATTAAGAAATTTTACAATTCTCCCATATGTTAAAATACAAAATCGATTGAAATTCTTAATAAAACACATTTATAACTAAAAAATTACTTAATCTACGACTAAGCAGTTTCGTCTCCTTATTTGGTAAAGAGATTAGTAAATTTTACCTATGTTATAAGATTTCATACTACAGCGGCGTTTTTCAACATTTTAGAGGAGGATCCTTATGAATAAAATTTAGTTAGAACAGTTATAAGAGTTTTAACTTACATATTATTATAATGTAAAAATATCGATATCTAGGAAAGATCCAGTCCCTCTCCTGTTAACCCACCCCTTCTACCAACCATTTACGTTGCTGTTAGTCTTGTTTTAATATAAAATAGAAACATAAGAAACAATATAAAAATATTTTTTAAAAATCTCTAATATTTTTGAACACATGCTAATTTAAATGTTACTTAAAGTTTTAATGAATTCATAAAACGTTTGGTGATTAGAGGAATTGGATGAATTCAATCATCACTGGTTTAATAACAGCCGTTGCATGTTTTCATATTGTAAGGACCATAAAGAGGAATTAACAAATTATGTTATATAAAATAAAACTATATACAAGGCAAGTCATTACAATAATAATAACATTATGCAAAAGTAAGCATAATTTCCTTGGTTTTAGATTAAGTTGTTTAATATTTCATATTTTTTATTTTAATATAAGTTCATTCATTTGACATTAATGAAACTTAGTCTCTTATAATCAAGTTGAAGTTAATTTAAATAACAATAATGATATAATGAAAATTTAAGGGACGAATTGGAAATAGCAAGTGCACTGAGCTCAAAAAATTTATCAATTAAATAATTTAGTAAGTCTTAATCTAAGATAGAAAAAACCATACAAAACTTTTTAAAAATGTTGTTATAAAAAATAAAGACTGGTAAAAAGCATTCAATTACATAATTAATGCATTATCTTTTAATAAAATATAGGTCTATTTTTAAATACATAAATTGGATAAAATAATGGAATTGATTCAATTTTAATGATCCTTCAATAAAATATAATTTTAATTTATGCTACTCAACTTTAAGATGGTATTTGATATAAAATGACAAAGTTAGCAAAGAAAAAAATATATATGAAAATTTATAGGAACATAATTTATACCTTACAATATAAGTACTCAATTTAAACAAACTAAATAACTGATGTTCTTATCATTATTTTAAAAAGACAATTAATAAATTTGGTTTTTCGAAATTTAATCATGATTCATTTCAAATATTCAAATCTCGACATAGCTACCACAATATTTACATATATGTTTAGTGTTACAGAATAACATATAATATTATATGCAAGACACAAAAATAACTAAATATGGTGATTAAGCTTAACATGACCAGTGAAAATACTTTGACTTAACCAAACCCCTTTGAATAAATTATTAACCAAATATAACATCCTACCTCAAAAAATGTTATCCACTTGAACATAAATTTAAAAAAAGACTATGACAAAAATGATTAACATATAATGTTTTGACAAATTTAAAAACTTTTAATCCAGTGAATATTTTTTTTTAAATATTTTTTACAGTTTTGGACTATTATAAAAGCATATTCTTTATTGTTTGTCTGTAATAAGAAAAAACATTTTCTTTTTCTTTTGATGGGTTGATAACAACTGTAGGGTAGGTAGAGCTCGTATTGGTATATATTTATAATAAATGCTTCACCCATGCTATATACTTATTCTATGTATAAAAATGCTTGTAACTCAATAGTATTTATCCTAAAGTTGTTATCAACCCAATTTTATTTTTAAAAATTTATGAGATTTCTAAAAATTAAAAATAAAAAAAATTTGTTTTTAATGACTACATTAAAAACAAATTTTAAAACTATAAAAGTAAGTTTATTTTTTAAAATATTTGTTGGATCTAAAGTTTTTAGATTTATCAAAACATTGTGAACTATCCTATACATTTCATTGTATGATGAATAAAAAATACTAATAAGATTAAATCTTACCTTTTGGGCTTTACACATGGAATTTATGGCTTGTACATCATGGCTCGTATGCCTTGAATCATGCATGCATACAGCACATACTGGTATTTTGCAAACCATACAGTACATAGATAAACACTCTTCTTCATGATCAATACACACCATATCTCTACTATTAATTTTATTCCTTAATGCAACTTTTCCAACTGATGGTATTAACAAATTATGTTTAACTAAAGGTCCTCTGGATGGATGACAACTCTCTCGACATACATCACAATACAAAACTTCACATTGTTCACACAGTACAGTAGCATCAGCAGCAGGATCGTGTTCACATAATTGACATTTAGGCGCAATATTTTTTAAATCTCCATACCGATCAACAATATTTCGCATAGTTTTGTACTTAGGCAGATTAAGAGCACCATTATCGTCAAAGTACACAATTTTTCTACAGATAGGACATGTTAACGAGTATGAACTAGTTGTAACTGGTGGAAACACAGTACCATTGATATTAGGCGTACCCACATAACTATTGGGTCGACTATTACAAACAACACCACTATCAGTCTCACTAAGAATGGATAATTTATCTGATTCAGGATGGTAGTCTGACGAATGCGACTCTATGCTACTACTAGTCGAGTTTCCACTATTTTCTTGATTGACTGATGATTCGATAGGACGTTGAATATGCATAGCACAGTTCAAACATAACGCATGATAGCAAGGTAAAAGAACAGGGTTGTTAAAGAGTTGTTTACAAACAACACAATGTAATTCATCTTCCATAATGACAGCAAAATAAAAAATCTATAATAATGTTAGTTAAGATGTAGAATTTCACTAGCACAATAATGTAATATTTCAAATTGTTTCATTGTATTAATTACAAAGCAATTTCAAAAACTGCGAAGAACATCACTAAAGATCAGATTAACTAACGATATAACCAAATGAACACTAACTAATAACTACTTAATGATAGCAAATGAAAGATTTCAACACCGGAGGAGTTAATTTCTACTTTTGTTTACGTGACACTAACGACATCAAGCGGCAAGAAATATACCATGAACAGTGTAAACGATATAATAAAATAAATAATATATCATAAAAAAATATTTATAATTATTTTATCATACGTGTATAACATTAAAATGTATTTCTTATAACTATGAACAGAAAAATAATTAGGGTACCATAGATAGCCTTTTTTTTTTATAAAATTACACGCCCTATAACGTAGTTACAGTACACATTTTAATAAATTTGATAACACACTTGGAGATAACCTTTTTATCAATGAATATAGTTATTGTGACCTTGTAACAAAATTCATCACACCAGTTTTTAATAGCCGGTTTTTGAAATTATGTATTATGTACATCATATTACTACAAAACAGTTAACTGAGTACAATGCAAACTATTACTTAAAAATGTTGTCCCGTATACTTTCTTTTACGCTACTGGTAACGACTTTCATTCAGTTATTAATTTAGATATTCTATTTCAATCTTTTAGTCTAAAATTAATGTAGGTTTAAACAGTTACTAATTTAATAAATAAATTTTATTGAAATATTTTAGATTTAAATTTAATTTATTTAATATAGATTCCTATTTAATAGTTGTATTTTAATTTGAAAGTAAGCATAATATGTTTGGTAATTGTTTATCTATAATTGCAAACTAATTTTAATGATCAAAATAATTCTTAAAATCTTATAAAATTTGATATCTCAATCTTACTATAAATTAAACTCATAATTCTTATATTCAGGACAACACATTCATAAATTGTCACTAATCGTCTAGACTATAAAGTGGCATATTAAAATATAATTTATATCTTCATCGTCAGAATGTGTAATGTAAATATAATATGTGAANTTCATAAATTGTCACTAATCGTCTAGACTATAAAGTGGCATATTAAAATATAATTTATATCTTCATCGTCAGAATGTGTAATGTAAATATAATATGTGAACATTTACTTAATGAGCCTCTATCAGAGAAATTAACTAAGCCTTTTGTATAAAATATATAGTCAATTAATTCTGCATTAAAATTGCAGCCAATTTTAACATTTAAAACATATTTCATAATTCTAGATTTTTACAACCTGAACAATTATTGTTAAAATTTTAAATTGTTGATTACCAAAATAAAAATCATAAAAACTAATTTAATAAAAAAAATTGAAAATATAATTTGATTAGTTTATTCTTTAAAAAATATTTGTATGTATTATAACATGCAATTTTTTTAATTTTTGAGAAAGCTAAAGCAAAATTAGTTGCTTATTCTCACAAGTCACTTTAGATTGCACCTATGGTCAAAAATATGATTTTACTAATTATCTAATAATAATGAGTATATTATAATTTTTTATTATTACTATTTTATTTATTTATTGTTATTACTTTTTTTTTTTTTTTTTTGTAGATTTTAATATTATTTTAATATAAATGTATACACAAGTGTGTAGTAGAAAAAATAATAANTTTTTTTTTTTTTTTTTGTAGAATTTAAAACAAAATTGTTGATAAAAATGAATTTTAAAGTTGCAAATAACATCGAAAAATTAAAAATTTTACATTCTATTATTAAACGTTACTCAAGTCAATTTTCAAATAACAGTTTTGATGTTGTTGTTGTTGGTGGTGGCATCATTGGTTGTGCTACAGCTAGAGCTTTATTAATTGAAAATAGAAATTTAAGAGTTGGATTAGTCGAAAAAGAAAATAAATTATCATTTCATCAAAGTGGACATAATAGTGGTGTGATTCATGCTGGCATATATTACAAACCTGGCTCATTGAGAGCTAAGTTATGCATTAAAGGATTACAAATGACTTATGATTATTGTAATAAAAAAAACATACCATACAAAAAATGTGGTAAACTTATTGTTGCTACTAATGAAAATGAAATTAAAAGATTAATTGATCTTTATGAACGAGGCATGCAAAATAGTACTCCCGATATAAAATTATTAGATGAACATGAAATTAAAACGATTGAACCCCATTGCAAAGTGAATTAAAATATTTTTCAAAATACTTATAACAAATTTAAAAATGAAGTTAACACAGTAAATTTTTAGGGTTTGAATGCAATATATTCACCTCATACTGGAATTGTTGACTGGGCAACTGTGACACAAAATTATGCAGCAGATTTTAAACATATGGGAGGAAAAATATTTTATGACTTTAAAGTGGAGTCGTTCAATGAAAATAAAAATGGAAGAGCATTAAAACTTAGAGCCAAAAACAATGTAATTACTATATACTTTTTAAGTAATAATAAAAAAATAATAATTTAACTACATATAATCTATAAAATTCTATCTATAAAAGTTGTTTAAAATAAATAATAGAAGAGACTTTATAATTAGATTTTTTACAGACCAAGTTAACTATTCATTACATTATAAATTTATCCTGATTAACCTATACATTATAATCTATATTTTTATTATAAGATAACTTTGAATTACTTAGACATTTTAAGTTAATAATCTATTGCCAACATTTTTAGTTGATAAATACAAGTTTATTTCGTAAATAAAAGTATGTTTTTTGTAATATTTTTTATTTTTGTTACATAAGAATGTTCTCATAAATGTTGTGGTAACAAAAATTATAGATAGTTTAAAGAACTTTAACTTTTTCAGTAGTATATGAATTACACAACCTGAAATTTTAGAAAATTGTATTGTTGTATGAAAATATTTATAGGGTGATAAATATACCATGGAATGCTTCCGGGGTAGTCACCAGGTAACTATGAATACATGAAAAGAAGAAAAAAGGGTAGAATAGTTTAGTGTGTCCAAAATCCCTCCACAAAAATTGTATAAACTATCCATGACAAAAATTTATTGGACCCTAAGTTTTAATCATGTGATTATTTTTAAGTACTATTTAACTCAATTATAATTTAAAATCAAAATTCTGCTATTTATAAATATATTATGATTTTTTATTACTGTAATATTATTTTTTATATTAATAAATTATGTTATTCAGTCAATATTGTTGGGATTAATGGGATTACAAAATACATGGAATAGCAGTTATGTTTTCATATTAATATTCATGAATATTTTGATTTTAAATTAATTAATATACAAAAAATGCTGAGTAACCAACTTTTTACTGTTTTTCCAGGAAGTTGTAATAACTGATTATGTTATAACATGTGGTGGACTACAGTCAGACAAACTTTCAATAATGACAGGATGTAAAGATGAGCCATACATTTTACCAGTACGTGGAGAATATTTATTACTCAAAAGTGATAAATCATACCTTGTTAAAGGAAATATATACCCAGTAATGATAAAAAAAAATTTATTTTTTAAAAATATTTTAACTAAATATTATAATTTTTTTTACATAGGTCCCAAATCCTGATTTACCTTTCCTTGGTGTACATTTCACTCCTAGAATGGACGGTTCTGTGTTTTTAGGTCCAAATGCAGTTCTGGCTCTAAAACAAGAAGGCTATAAGTAAAAATGTTATAATAATTATTGTATCAAATATTTATTGAACAAATTATGTTCAATTAATTCAATATGTTTTCTAGATGGAATGATATTAGTATAGGAAATACTCTGAGAGTCCTAAAAAAAAAAGGTGTGCGAAAGTTGTTAAAGAATAACATACAATTTGGAATAAATGAAATTTTGAAATCTATATATCTCTCTAAACAGCTTAGAGAATTACAAAATTACATCCCAAATATTCAATTAAATGACATTATTAGGTGAAATTCCACCTATAACTGGATTTTATTTTAAATATTTTTAATTATTATTTATTTTTATTATTTAGGGGTCCATCAGGTGTAAGAGCTCAGCCTTTATGGTCCAACGGAAAGATGGTGGAAGATTTAGTCCTAGATTGTGCTTCAAATGATCCTAATGAATCTGTTAAGTATAGAGTTTTACATTGTCGTAGTGCACCTTCACCTTCAGCTACTTCATCTTTACCAATTGCTGACATAATAGTTGATAAAATGTTTAAAAAATATCCTAAATTGAAACTTTAATTTTAATTATATATTATAAATAATTATAAAATATTAAAATATTAACATATTCACTAAATACCTTGCATATTATTGTTTTTTTTTTTTTTTTAACTATTTAGTATATTAGTATTATTTTATTATTTATTAATAGATTTGAATAAATTGAAGTCTATCTTAAGGGAATTATGTTCTTACCAGGTAAACTTAAATTAAATGCCATACCAGGCCATAACACAGGTTTTTTATGTATACAATAATTGTTAAATTTAGATTGTAATATATTTTCTTGGCATTTTATTTTATTGGCATTCAATCCATAGATTTTTTCATGTGGTATTTCAATTTGAATACTATTAATTACAGACTCTAAAAGAAATAACAAAAGTTAATTTATTGAAAGATATCATAGTAGTCCAAATCTATTAATAATTAAAAAATAAAGTTCTAAACATTTTTAAGTAATGAATCACTCAGAAATCCACAAAAAAATGTTATATGTACTATATTATAAAATTACTGTACTAAAACCTTCTGAACTTGATGAATTGCATAATCCATAACATTTATCCAAACTTCGTTTTTCCATTTCTGCAATATAACATTGTTTAATAATTGTTTTTTGAATTAGGCACCATGTATTTGTGAAAACAGAGCACTATAAAATGTGCATAACTAGTGTAAACAGAGTATATATCAACTTATCATACGGATATTTTATAAAAATGTCCATACCTCAAAAATAAGTTACTTTATTAAAAAATGTAATTGAGTAACAGTATTTAACATAAAATGATAAATATAGAAGCTCTTAAAAATTAAAAATTTGTATAAAAAAAAACTACAAGCTTTTTTGTTTCATAAATGCATGGTGTCTAGAGTTATACTTTAAAAATATCAAAAAGACCTATTTTTTTTTGATGTTTTAAAGTAGCTCTTGAAAATTCTAAATAATTTGTATCTATTTCTTCACTGCTTTCAGAAAATGTATCATTTGCATAAATCGTATCATTACATGAGTTGTATTTGTTATATGAATTTTCCTTGATCTAAGAATTCAAACAATGATACTATAAAATCTTTAAGAGTAAAAAATCATAATTATAAGTTTATTAATCAATTTAATTTATTGGTATTATACAAAATATTTGTGTATAGATAAACTTGGCCAAAAAATGTCTGAATAATTTCCATCTAGTACACTACAAATTTGAGGAGATTATTTAAGTTCCATTTTTTTTTTACAAATTGTAAACAAAATAGAATATTTCTTTGTAATCTAAAATATCTACTCAATATAACTTTATTGTAATACATAATGCATTACTTTAAAAAGTAAATAAATAAATATTTAAATATTCAATGCAAAGTAATTTGTAGAATATATAAATACTCATATATTTATACTTTTTTTATTTTCTCCATTTAACAATTTGTAATAAATCTATATATATAGTAACTTATAATCACAAATTAGTATTTATAGCGCTTAAAGTTATCAAAATAAGAGCTTTAAAATATTTAAATAAGTATTTATAAGTCATACACAGAAAAAAAAATTAATTAAAAATTATTTTTTTAATCTCTACATTATTGTTTTATAGGATAAAAACTTATATATATATATATAATATATTATAAATCTATACAATTCACATGATACATAAATATACCATTAAAAATATTAATAATAGTAAATTTCAAAAAATACACTTTTATAAAAAAAAACCATATCTCTAAATTTTTGAAATTTTAATATAATTATTTCAGGATTATCTGAAGATTAAACTGTAAAATGAATTTATTCAATAAAAAAAATATGATTCTTAAGATATCATACCATTATTATTGCATTGAATAATCAAATGTTTAATAAAGTTTTCAAGATGGAAAATAAGAATTCTGTTATAAAATCATAGAAAAAAGCAATAAATGTGAATAAGCAGTTTTTTTTTAAAGAAAGCAAAAAAACAATTTTAAATTTCATATTTGAAATCTTTCTACATATGATGTAAACTTTTGTTGCATTGTGCTACTATATACTTCAAACGATAAAAATTAGGAAGTTAAATAAGTCCAAACTATGATTGTAATAATGAAAGCAATTTTTTTTCTTTTAAAAAACAGTGTTTTAGTTTTTAAATATCGTACTTATAGAATTATAAGCTTTAATATATCAAATCTTTAAGCATATACTAACAAACAAGAAATGAAATCCTGTAAAATAGGCTTCTTTGCACATTAAATATAAAACTGAACAAAAAAAAAAAAATTGTTAAGTATCTCAGCAGTAGACACAATCATCTGTAAGAATAAATTAAAAATATACTTTGCACAATTTTATACTAGAAAATTTTACTTTGTTTTCGCAATGCATTCTAAAACAACCTGGAGAAAATAGCCCCAAAATATTATTTTTCTCGGGTTCTCTTATGCTTTTTAATTATAACAATAAAAATAATAAATGATAATTTGCACAACACATATAGGAAATATATTAAACAACAAGGGATAATTACAATTATCACAAAACTCCCTTAAAAGTTATAACTACTAATTGGCCCATATAGCCACCATTACTGTGAGCTTGGTTTAAATATTTCAGTAGGACCTTCAAATACTGGCATTTATTAGTAAATTTATGGACAAAATATCCTCTTTATACCAGATCTCGGGTTTTGCTGCCCCTACCCATAGGTATTTATATATATGGTCAATCACCATATATGATCTAATAAAATTTGCATTGAAGTCTTTTTGGTATATGGGCATGATGTAACCCCATGGTACATAACAAATACTAACCTTCACAATGACTTAACCTATACCTACTATTATTGAACTTGACAAAAACCACTACAAAAGATTATGCACAAAAAAATCACATTACTCAAATGTTCTCATCAGCTGTAAGTTATCCTGCTCATTTGCTCAAAATATTTCATGCAGAGGGAACTGGTCTAAAAACTCACACGAGATAAAAATCACAAAATTAAAAATTTATATTAATTTTGTAGTTATGTTTCCACATTTGTGTTAATCTATGACCAATATTATTTATGTATGTTGATCATTATTATTTAATGTTTATTATTTTGTTAATTCTTATAAAAATAAAAAAAACTCCTTAATCCCAATTTATTACAAATACAATATTAGGCATTTCTACTTTGGTCACTGTTATATAAAACGTGCAAAGTAGTCTTTTTTTATGTATTTATAATATACTTCATGTAGTATAACACATAACATATACTTGTGTATAGTAATTGTTCATAGTTTTGGTTTTTGAAATTTTTGTTCCACCCCAATTCATAATATGTTCATAATTTTCCCAAAAATGTTCAAGATTCTTATTCATACTTCGTGCAAATTGTATACAATACTTATAAGAAATATGACAAAAATAATTTTTATTTTAAATTTAATTACATGATTGATAAGACATTACATATCAATATAACGCATACAGTAATATTGAAAAACACATTTGCCACGAACTGATAATGCCCCTACTTTTACATACTACATTTGATAAAGTAGTAATTGTTCCGAATATCTAGTACTTCGACTATCTGATACTATAAACACGACGGATTTTACTCCAACATTTAATAAAAAATAAAACGTGGTAAAAACTGCGATATTATCTATAGTCAACATTTTTTTTATATTTATGTACATTATTCATATATACATTTTTATTTAAATATTTATCATCTACATAGTAAAATATAATCAAAATGATCAAATGAAAACAATTAAATTGTAAAACATTTTTTTTAACTTTTCGTGTACTGCTTTTGTTTTAACGGGGCCGTCATTTGGGGTGGTCAGGGTGTGCGATTGCACCCTTACTTTAAAAACAGTCCCAATTGGCCTGCAATTAATGCACCAATTTTTGATACATCAATTCAAATTTCAAAAACATTGTATTATCATGGTTAATGGATCAATAAACAAATATTCTGTTATTAATTAATTAAGTAAACAATAAATGTATCATACTAAACATTAATATTCGTACCGGACGCAAGATATTAATATTAATGTTTATAACTATTTTTATAACGACTTTTTTGCCGCGCAGTTAACGGCACTAATTGAAAACGGTAATGAACTGATAAATATAAAATTTAACGATTACTTCGACCTCGACGTTACATTTATATTATATAATATTAAAATAGTAAGTACTATAACGATTTATTTAAATTACTTATGTTTATTGTGATTCATAATCTATGGAAAAATCAAGAGAAGAATAATTTACTTAAGTAGGTATATCTATTTTTATATAGCCTACTTGAAATCTCGCAAACCCAAAAAAAACGAAATGACGCCCCTGTTTATCAAAGACATTTTATATGTTATTATACGGTTATACAAACAGATTAAGCATCTTCAATGCTTTCAACGTTGGACCAGCTGAGCCCGTTATTGATGTAGTGATTGGGGCTAGGCTAGGTATCGCACTCTAGTGTTTAATATAACTAATTTTACTTTTAAAGAGCTATTATCAGTTAATAGTTGTTTCTTTTCTGTTGGATACTTAACATATCCTTTACAAAACCGTTATTGTATTTAATTCTACAATATAACTAATTATTTCATGAAATTGTTTACTAAACCCATGTGTGCGTTAAGTAAGGCGATGTTTAAGGGGTATGAGGAGTTATACAATAAGCTAAGAACAAAGAAAGGTGAAAAAGAAGTCTATAGACTTGCAAAAGTAAGAGAAAAACAGTCTAAAGGTTATCACAATGTAAGGTGCATAAAAAGTATTAATAAGAGGATACTAAGGAGCGATGATGTCAAAAGAGCTGGAAAGAATTTTTGGAAAAATTATTGAATGAGAAGTATCTAAGAAAGACATTAGAGGATATATTATGGTACGAGGGACTAGTAGATTTAATTAGTGAGAAAGAGGTATGGGAGGCTGTGACATCAATAAAAAAGAATAAAGCAGTATAACCAGATAAAGTGCCAGAAGAAGTATGGCAAATATTAGGCGGTGTTAACATAAGGTACATGGATCTTTTTAATGAAATCCTATTGAAAAGGAAAATTCGAAAAGAATGGAAAAATAGTATTGTGATGTCGATATTTATAAGGGACAAATAGGAGAGTCGAAATTAAAGAGGAATAAAGCTTATGAGTCATAGTATGAATATTTGAGACAAAATAATAAGTGAAAAAACATCAGTAACATAGAACCAGGAAAGTCAGTGATGGAACCATTATTTTGTGTAAGACAACTAATAGAAAAGTATAGGTAAAAGAAGAAAGGACTGTGTATGGAATTTATAGATTTGGAGAAAGCGTATGGATAAAGTACCAAAAGAGTTTTTAAAGTAGGCATTAATGAAAAAAAGAGCCCCGAAAAGTTACATTAATATAATAGAAGATATGTATGATGGCACTTGTACCAGGGTAAAAAGCGTAGGAGGAGTAACAGATGGTTTTCGGGTAAAAGTAGGACTACACCAAAGTTCTGCTTTAATCCCTTACTTATTCTCTATATTGATGGATGAAATTACTAGAGAAATACAAGGAGAGGTGCCATGGTGTATGTTGTTTGGTGACGATATAGTGTTAACAAGAGAAAATAGAAAGGAAATTTTTCAACTGCTCGAGGTGTAGTGATCAGGTTGAATTGCGGGTGGGTAAAGTGGAGAGAAGCGTCTAGTGTATTGTATGATAAGAAAATTCCAATGAGGTTGAAAGGTAAGTTCTATAAGACTGTAGTGAGACAGCTATGTTATATGGTTTAAAATGTTGGGGGGTTGACAATAGAATTAAGCAGAAATGGATGGTGGATAAGCTGAGAGAAAATAAACCTAAATGGTTTGATCATGTCATGAGAAAAGAGGAAGACCAATAAAGAGATGGAGAGATGTTATTAAATGCAACATGAGGACTGCTAATGTGAGAGATTGTATCAAATGAAAATTTGGAATAATGGTGACCGACCTAAAGTTGTTGGAATTATGGCAAGCAAAAAGAAGAAGTTAAGTCATGTAATATTTTGTTTCATCTTGTAAACGTAGGTCTTTTATAAATATTTATACATATAAACTTATGTTTGGAAAAAGTATTTAAAATTTTTCATACACTACTATCTATTTATTGAGAATTTTAGGTATTCTCAACAAGATTGCGTCACGTAGCATAACTTGATCGCTTTATCAATAACGGCTCTACTCATTAAACGTGATATCAAATGTATATGTATAACCATGTTTTATCGTACTATAATAGATAAGAATTATGTTTTTATTACCTATGGTACTTTTTTATTTGTTATCATAGTGTTTTGAAATGGCATTTGTATGAATTTCACATAACTACCACAGATAAGAAATTATTTATACTACAACGTTGAATTAATGCAATGATGTAGTATTCCATAAAAATTCTCTAATGAAGTAACACATGTTGATTTTAATGTAACCAAGTAAAAGGTAATTTTCCTAGTCTGTTTATTTGTATGGTAATGAAAAAAATATTATCTATAATCATGCCTTGCTCCATACTATTATAAATATAACCTGATAAAACAAACAATTTATTTTTGTAACCTCTTTGGTTAAAATATTATAAACAGAGTTTTTATCTATTAGGCAAAGGACCAATAGAATAATGGTTACACTGCATTCATCTCTGCTTTCTTCTACCACTACATTTTGTTAATAATATTAGGGTTCCATTCTAAGTTGTAAGCCAGACTAGTAATAATATTGAAAAAATGGTAAGTTAATTTTTATCCATCTCAATCCCATTATTGAGCTTATAAAGTTTTTCTTTATTTTCATTTAAACAATTATACTCGTGTTCGAATAAAATATTTACGTTTATTTATCTATTAAAATTGTCATGTAAAGGATCATTAATAATTAAAATAGTATCTATTCAATCATTAAGTATTTAAATAGAGTAATATGTTTAAAAATATATCCAAGTCCAACAACTGTTTTGTGATTTGATTTATATTCAGCATGGAATTTTTTATGATTATGTACCCAAAATTTATCACTAGGTATTAAACGGTTTTCTAAGACGCTCGAACCTTTTATTATACTTTGAAATCTACAATGTTTTAATAGAAAACATTAACGCATAGTTTCAATAAGTGCAATTTATATTTAAAGTGTTATAACTTATTTGTTTTATATAGTTTTATAGTACGACAATTATCTTTTACTACTATTAGTATTTTTAAAGAGCTGTTCATGGAAATTGTGCAACAAGTTTAGGGGGTGTATGACAATAGTTTCTAAATCGTTGGGGTATAAAAACTATTGATTACATTACAATGTCATCGACTTGCTCCATAATCTACTCAAACCTAATCTATTTTTGAAAATATCTCCTAATACATTTTAGTTGGATAGTTTGTTTTAAATTTCAAGTGTTAGAAAATAAAAAGAAGAATTATTTAATTAATATATATTTTTACTACTAATGCTTAACTATAAATAAAATTTATGTAAACCAATCACAATTATTACACTTTTTGTTTAATTTACCTTTTTAAAATTAACTTGTTAACAATTATAAAAGAGAACAGTTTTTTGTTTCAAATACTCATTGATATAAATGTTTTACATTGATCTAATTATGCTAGATATATAAATGTCAAAAATCTAGAAAATGATTTTTGGAAATGTAAAGTAATTTAGTGAAGAGCTTCACATATCAATAAAATTCTTTAAATTTGTAGTTATTTTTTGGATTATATGCTTTTTTACAATGTATTTAAAAAGCAAGGAAAGTTATCAATTGTTACATACCATGGGAACTATATAAACTTGTTTCCTTACTTACTAAACACTGTTCATGAAATATATAGAAAGATGCATGTTACATTAAGATATTTAAAAACAAACTATCAATACTGCTTTAATTAATTCCTTATTTATAGAACTCTTATTTTTGTTGTTTGTATGCATAAGATTATTTAAACTACTATTTAATTTTAGGTGAATGTACCTAAACAAAGACGTACTTACTGTAAGAAGTGTAAAGTACATAAGGTTCATAAAGTAACACAATATAAGAAATCAAAAGAACGTCAAGCATCCCAAGGTCGTCGTCGTTATGACAGAAAACAGAGTGGATTTGGTGGTCAAACTAAGCCTATTTTCAGGAAGAAGGTATAACATTTAAATTAAAAACTAAAACTTAATTACTAGCATGGAATATTAAAATAAATTTAAAATTGTTTTTTAATAAGATTGAATAAGGAGTTTTACATTAAATGGAAACTAAAACAATTCATTAAATTTTCGTTGTATAAACAAAAATCAAAAATTATTTATTTTTATATTAGTTTAAATTACATCAATATCTTTATATTGATATTTACTATCTTTGAATAGGCTAAGACAACCAAAAAAGTGGTATTAAGAATGGAATGTTCTGAATGCAAATATCGTAAACAAATTCCATTGAAACGATGCAAACATTTTGAATTAGGTGGTGACAAAAAGAGAAAGGTAAGACTTTTAAAGTTGACAACATGCAGACTTACTAATATTATGTAATTTTTTTCAGGGACAAATGATTCAGTTTTAAATTGCTGTAATAGACCATTATTTTTGTTACTTTAAAGACTAATAAATTGATGCATTCTTGAATTTTATTTTCTTTACTTTTATGTATAAATAGAATTCTATTTTGATATTTCAAATAGATTCTACAAATATCTAAGTTTGTATGTCTTTTCTAGAAGACAATTAACAAACACTGTAATCTGTAATGTAAAAATTAATTGACTTATAAAATTATATTTATCTATGAAGATAAACTTAAAATTAATATATAACCATTCCAAATTTATTAAGGTTAGTGAAAAAACTGATGATATTTCAAATTAAAGTTTTAATTCTGATTTTTTGTAGACAATTGATTCATTCCCAAATTAGTACGTTCCTACTTTTCATTAACCTTTATAAAAAAAAATAACTTAATGGAACTTCTTAAATTAAAAAAATTGGGATTATTTTTAATTAGTTTCAATCCTTAGTGTTCAAAACGATTTTAAATGAATAATAATTACAATATCCAATTTTGATCATTCAGTTATGCTAACTATGTAATATAAAACAAATGAGGTTGTTTAATAGAATTTATATTTTTGAAGTACATTTTAGTTATAAGAAAAAATTTTAGGAATCCAAGAATGTTATAACTTATACCAAAAAACAAATTGTACTTTTTAATCAAAGACTTAAGTTACAATAGTAAGATATTAATAAATGGAAAAAGAAAATACTTAATAAGTATGTATGTCCTTTTAGCTTCGATGCGAAGCTGAGAAGGTATTGGTTTTACTAAGATGTGTTTTTTTTTTTTTTTTTTTTCTGTTACCACTTTTTCTCAGCTCTCACCGAACCGATTTCTTTCAATGATACGTCAAAAGATCACAAATCGTATCTAGTCGAAGACATTACCCTTAAAAATTGAAAAAAATTCCCTCGTTCCCCGTAAAAGGGGGAAACCTCCAAAAAAATTACAAATTTAAAAATCGCTAATTTTCGAAATTTTTTCCAATTTTTTTACTTTAAAGTACCATAACTTTTTCAAAAATGAACATATCAATATAAATCTTTTTTATATATATGCATAATATCATTACCTTTCATTTGGTATATTTTTTTCATAAATTTAACCCTTAACCTGCCCACAAGGGGGGATTTAAGATGACAACTTTTTCACAAAAAATTAATTTTTTTAACTTAAATTTTGAAAATGTTCCGGAAGGTCTGACACTTTTATATATATCTTAAATTAAAGCTAATGTAATATACTTTATAATGGTAAAAAAAAATTACGATTTTTGTAAAAAAATTCTTTTTTATATTTTTAACTTTATAATGCTATAACTTCTCGAAAGATGTATGGATCAATATAATTCTTTTTTTTGTAGATGCATGATGTCTTTACCTATCATTTGGTATATTTTTTTTATAAATCTGACTTTTTACCTGCCTACAGGGGGGGATTCAAAATGACAACTTTTTCACAAAAAATTGACTTTTTCAACTTAAATTTTGAAAGTGTTCCGGAAAGTCTGACACTTTTATATATATCTTAAATTAAAGCTAATGTAATCTACTTTATTATGTAAAAAAAAAATTTCGGACTTTATTTTGTCTTCACGGTGAAAATGGCTACCAAATGCTATTATTGTGTGAAAATTCTCAATTTTATTTTTTACATTTTTAACTTTATAATGCTATAACTTATTGAAAAGTGTATTGATCAATATAATTTTTTTATGGGAAATACTATTTTTGAATAATCCCTTTTTCATTCGACATACTTTATCTTAATCAGGATATTAATAAGGAACTAGCAGTTTATGAAGCTTTTGGAATAATCCACCAATTTTTTATAATTAAACACTATCTAAAGATTTGCATCGAAGCGTTTTTTTTTGATAGTGATTTTAATCACAGTCAGATATCATTATACTTGATCCAACTATGCCACGTCACCACTGTGCCGCGACCCCCCTGTGCTGGGTTTTTTTAATTTTCTATGTAACGGCCTAATATATTTCTTAGTTAAAGACTAGCTTTATATAAATTCAAATACTTTCAATAGCCAGATGTTTTGAAGAGTATACTTCATAATATTCGGAGCAAAAATATGATTAAAAATTATAAAGACTTCAAGCATCATTTAGCTTTATACATTCTCGATGACTCAAATTATTTTTCTATGGATGGGCATGAATAACCAATGATAAAAATTATAACATGAACTTCGTTAATCATTTACAAGTTATTATGTATCGTCGGTTAAAATAAAACATCCAGTATTTAAGTTTTTGGCCAAAATAATTTGGCATTGTTATTTTATAAGTTACATGAGAAATCTATTCGTCTAATAAAAATCGTAAACACCTGAGAAGGTAACAGTTGCTAACTATAATCTAGGTTTGTTCTCCTGAAAAATTAAAAAAAGTAAAATATTAGGTGATGCATATGCATTAATGGCTTTACTCCTAATTAGCCTATTACAAATTTTTTTAAAAATAGTACTCCCATAAATTTATCAACACAAACAATAACCAATTTTGTAGGATTAGTAATTTTTTTTCTTTATTATTTGTACTCGAATAACTAAAATTGAATAAGTATATTTAAATCATATGTATGTGATAAAAAAATATAAAACATGTATAATTAAAAATATCAATTAAGGGAATTTATCCCCTAAATCCCTGTCCTTTTCAACCATAATTAGCTGGCCATAAACGAGTTAATAAATTAAATATTTTAGCTTAATAGAGATATTTAGATTTTTCATTAACTTAATTTATCTTTAGTTCATTTATTGACTAATATCCTATTTTTTTTATTTTTCAATAATACCTCATTTTAAAATAAAATTATTTTTATAATTATTAGTCTATAGAAAAATATTAGTCTTCAACAATAAGTTTTTTCAGCGAATAATATATAACATTCATTTTAGGGTTTCTATTACTTAATGTCAATAGTATTGACTCAATACTACAACTCCAAAATTCGCGAGTTTCGAGCAAGTCAGACGGACCTGTGTCATAAGATATCTCAAATAAATTTTATTTATAGATCTCTATTAACGTGCTTGACATCTAGCATTTATAAAACGTTTTCTTACTGATAAGAACGTGTTGTTGCTATTAAAGTAAAATGGAGTGGTAATGTATAATTTGATATAAAAAATACATCAAAATATTATTTGTCTTCAATGGAGTTTGTGTTTATATAAAAATCAATAAAGGTTACTTTATTAATTCTTAGAATTTAAATAAAATTTTTAATGTATTACGCATATATCGAATTGGAATTATTTTTATTCCATAATATTTGGCGATTTTTTTTATGCTGTTAGATTAAGCAAATTTTACATTAATCAATATACACATTGTAATACAGAGGTTAAAATTTAATATTTAACAATATCAAAAAAAAGGTATCTTTAGTTAATAAAAAACGGTAGCACAGTGTGGACGTGGTATAATTAGAACAAATATAGATGATATCTGATAGTGATTAAAATTACTATCATAAGACATGCTTCGATGCAAATCTGAAGATAGTGTTTAATTTTAAGAAATTGGTAGATTATTTCAAAAGCAACAATAACTCTTATTACCTTAATTTTATCCCGATTAGTTATCTGATTAATAATTATAATAATAAGTAAATAATAATTATAGTAATTAAATTTAGTATGAAATTGATTTTCAATAATTTAATATTGTAATTTTTTCGGAGATAATATAAAAATAATAAAGTAGTTGTATATTTCTTTACTTTAAACGCGTATAAAAATTTAAAGGGCTAGTCGCAATACTTTTCAATAAAAAATGTTAGTTACTCATAACAAAATTATAAGTTTTATACACTACACTACAAGAAACTTTCATCAGAAACAAAAATATACTTTTCTAAATCAACTTTAAGCGATGTTTTCAAATGTGCAATTAGACTTTTTTTATCACTTCTAATTTTTAATATTATTACATATTATTAAAAAATAAGTATTAACATATAAAAAATAATTAAGAATAAAAAAAATTAATTTATTACCATAACATTTAGCTCAATTTGCAAGTTTGAAACTGACATCATTAAATAGGAAATTTTATGAGAATTTAAAAAAATTGTATAGTTAAGATTAATATGCAGTCAGAAAATTTTATAATTACTATTTATAGTAAATTTATCAGAAAAGCTTAATATTTTTTTGCATTTTTATCGTAATAAATAACTTAAATAGAAAATATAGTAATCATTTCCTAGTAACATTTGGTGTTTAAAAAGTTTCTACTATTGAAATATGATCTGAATTAATTTTAATGATTTACTTTAACAAAAAAACCAATAAAAAAAAGTTGTTAATAAGATCTACTCAATAGAGCGTATCATAAAATTTCATTATAATTGAGTCATTCCATGTGAAATCACCTAAAGTGTGTGCTGCTATAGTTCAGAATTTTTTTAAATTTATATCATAGACTTCTTAAAGGTTATTGACAACAAAAATAATATATATATTTTTTTTATTATTTTTTTACCAGATAGCGCATTTTTTATAATTAAAAACATGAAAAAACACCCTATGTTCTAGAGCCTATAACTTCACATCCAAATAGGCTATCACTGTGGAACTAGCACTGTTTTACTAATATTAAATACTACTTTATTTTCATTCATAAATTTATGAATTTTTAATTTTTTTTTACATCGAAATTTTGATTAAATTTTTTTTAATTTTGCAGTATTTTAATAGCAAAATTTGAAGGTCAACAAATTTTTAATTAAAATTATTTTTTTCTTTTCAGAAACTTTTAGTTATGTTCTTTTAACCCATATCATATTTGAATCGATTTATAATTTTTTTTGTATCATTTTACGGTCTTGAACACGCGTGGTTTGCTGAAAATAGCTAACTTTATCATCTCATTACACAAAAGTGACTAAACAAATTTTTTTCAAATTTACATAGTACTTACCTTTAGGCAATTAAAACATCTGGTGAAAATTTTATGATGAAGAAATAATTTTAACGCTACTTATAGAATTTACAAAATTTACAATTTGCGTATTATGGAACATCCACAAACTACGTAATTTTAAACATTTAATTTTTATTTCTTGTATTTATTCTGCGTTCTGTAGTAGATTAAGTTATTGGGACTCATACAAAAATCCTAGGAGCAATGACTAAGTTCGGAAAAGCTCCATTACTTTTCTTCATAAAGTTAATTACATCAATAGATATTGTTGATTCTTTGACTACGTTTTGACAAATTAAGAATTTTTCAAATAAATCATACACACAAATATCTTTTTAATCTTCAGATTGATGATGTAATACCAAGTCCATTATATTTAGATCTAATAATTTTTTGTTTTTAAGAACTAACCTATTATTGTATAACTTTGTATTTTATTGTATTTGATTATAATCAGGTATGATGTAAACAGATATAAAACTTATATTTATATATAATATATAAATATAATTAAATTATAATGTAGAATAAATTATAAAGAAATTTATAATAAAAATTATTTTATAATACACTCAAAAATATAAGACATTTTATTATATTTTTAGAATAATAAAATGATCTAAAATACATAATATCTAAAAAAATTACGACTTTAAAATTAGTTGCTTACAATGGTATATAGTATTTTATTTTCGTGTAGAATAAATGGAAAAAATTTAATGTTGAAAATTACGTAGTTTATGATTTTTCCATAATATGTAAATGATAAATTTTGAAACTCTATAAGTGGTGTTAAAATTATATTCTCTAAATATTGCCAAAAGAGCACAGTAAATAAATGGTCAAAAAAAGGTGTGATAGTATTAAAGCAATAAAATTTCATGTCACATTCAAGAAATTATTGATGCGTTAAATGAAATATTATATACAACACATGATCCGCTAATTAAAAATCACACTAATTCATTAAATTCGGAGATTAGTACAATAGAAATCCTTATGAGTTTATATATTTGGTATACAGTATTTGTTTATTACAGCATAGTAGTCGAAGAATCACATAACAATCATTTTAATAGTTATCTAATATATAATAAGTAAAAAATCATTTTAAGAAAGAATTTGGAAGGAAAATGTGTGTAATTTATGTTATATTTTCCTACCCTGTGATATAAAAATATATGTAAAAATTATCACTGGAATAAATGAATAATTTTTTTATTACAAAACACTTTATGATTTTATTTATTTTTAAGTACTAAAACGAGAGTATGAAATTTTTAACAGTCTTCTAAATCAATAGGCGCATCAAGAGCTGTGTGTAAAGTGACAGCAACACCTCTGTTTACGCTAACTGCAGGATAAAATACACCATAAAGTTCACGAAATGCTACTGATCCCTAAAATTAATTAAAAATTATTAATAGAACTACTGACTTTGAAATATAATTGTATAATTTACTTGTGGTTCATCATTCACATAGAATGAAAGCTGATGTTTATTCAAATCTAATAAAATTCCAATGGTTGAACCAACTTGAATCCCTCCATCACAACGTTGATCATGACTATTACAATGCATGAACCATGATCTTTGTTTATCTATATACATACTCCAACCAAATTCGTCTTTACCTATTCAATAATAAAATGTTTTATAGTTTAATAATATGAACTTATCAAATATAATAACAACTGTAAATTATTAAAACTTGCCAAGCATTTCTTCTTTAGAAACATCCAATCTAGCCACACCAAAACTAGGATCAGTATCAGCATCAAAACGATCAATTGTAAATTCCCAATAATGAACTCCTCTAGAAAAACCAACACTACCAAGAGCAACACGATGTTCAAAACCCTCACAAGTCACTGTACAATTATCAGGAGTGAAACATAATTCAGGAGAACTCAAGCATGGATCAAAATTAAACCAAGCCACTAATTAAAAGTATAATAAATTTAAAAGTTGTTATACGGTTATTTTAATAGCAACAAATTTACCTTCAGAAGTTTGTAATCCTATAATTTCACTGTATTCACCCTCACCAGCACTATTGAATGCTTTGACACGAGCATTGTAAGTACAGTTAAAATGTAAACCATCAACTGTACAAATTGTTTCTCCACCACAGTAAACTTCCTATAAAAAATACTAATATACTTAATTTCTAATAAATATTTAAAAAATTATTTAAATATTCTTAATTAAAAATGAGAAATTAGATAGTTAAATATGATATTGAAATATAGTAAATTAAACATACTCTGAAATCTCCATTATTTCCATCATCCAATTCTAAAATATAGCCTTCAACAAATGATGAAGCTGGAGGTTGCCAGGCAATTGTGACACTATTGTTTTCAGCACTACATTCTTCAGTGATGACAACTGGAGCATTAGGAGCTAGAATAAAATGAAAATAATAAGAAAGAATACACAAAAATTAAATCAAAATCAAAATTAAAATAGAAAAATAAACATTTAAAATCAATGCCTGATCTTTTTATGTCTCCTCCACCATTCCCAAAAGCTTTATTTAGTTAGAAAGCATAACAAATAAATGTAAGTATTTTGTTAATTAGAGTAATATTTTGTTGAATATTACATGACTTGACAATTAAAATTATACTAAGTAGCAATAACCAACACTACCAAGAGCAACACGATGTTCAAAACCCTCACAAGTCACTGTACAATTATCAGGAGAACTTAAGTATGGATCAAAAGTAAATCTATCCATTAATTAATCTTTGAATGAATTCGGTGGATGTACGAGGTTATTCAGATAGTTGTTGAAGGTTTTGAGACAATTCCGTCTGAAATTTATTTAATAACAAATATTAATTATTTCCATGTAAAAACAATATGTTTAAATAGTTAAAATAAATAATGAACATATTATAAGTATGTGACAACTGCCTTATACATCTAACATCCACTATTTCTTCATAATAATATTCAAAATTATAAACTTATTAGCGTTTTGAAAATAATACTTTAGTTAATTTATAACTATATAATAGAGTAAATATTTAAATAATTGTGATACTAGACTTTTGACATTATTATAAAAATTAATACACGACCATAAATATTTACAATGTAAATTGATAAGTTATATAATAAAAAATTTTGTTGCTAATTAACTTAATAAATGGTAATAGTCAACTATATAAATTTGAACTCATTCAGTCTGAAAATTATCCTTTTATTTAAATAATAATTAATAATAAAAACATAATAATCAGAAGAAAACTAAGCTAAGATTTAGGACAAAAATAATTCTTTCTAAAATAAAAGTATTAACATATTAAAGTAAAAATAAAAAAAAAATATTTTGACACTTAAAATATTTCTATAATTAATCATAAATTGAACATATTTACAATTATTTATTTTAATATTAGGATTATTTATTTGTTTTTTTCTTGATGGATAAGAATATATTTTTCTTGATTCTATTTCATCATATCTGCTGCCTAAAAATATCAAGTTTCAGAATTAATTTTTAGTTTCGATATTGATTTATAATATATTTTTTCACATGTATGTGCTTATATTATATATTTTATAAATTTATATATACCAAAAGACTTATTTACTATCTTCAGTTTAAATATAAGTTTCTTAAAAAAGGTTATTTGTATTGTTAAAAAAAATTAGTTGGTTTTTATAAAAAATTTTTAGATTTAATCATTAATTAACATTGAAAAACAGTGCTTAATAAAATTATAATATTTTCATAAATATCTTTATTTTCATACTTACTTCTTAATACAAAAATTAACCCAATTAAAATTAAAATATTCTCCATAATTACTTTAAGTGGCTTTTAAAAATAATTTCTTTTTCTTGCAGTGTCCCCCAAATTTATTTTCAAGTTCATAAAATTAAAATATTCAAAATTTGGGACTAACTATAAAGGTTAACTCATACATCCTGTTACCAAAGCTTGAGTAAAAGTTAATAATTAAAACTGATTAGAAAAAAAATTCTGAATATATTTTATAAAAAAATAATATTAATAATAATATATATATAAAAATAATATATAAAAAATATTAAACTTTTTAGCTTCGATGCGAAGCTGAGAAGGTATTGTTTTTACTTAGATGTGTTTTTTTTTTTTTGTGT